GCAGGGTGGGCGTCACGGTGGGGGTCAATGTTCTCTCCCAGTGACCCCCCAGCCTGGTGGGCACGAGTGGTGGTCAGGCTGTGTCCTGCTCATGCTGTGTGCACCTCGCAGCAGCAGCCCCTGTCCTGTTCTCCTGGGGCACCGTGGGAGAGCACACCGGTGTGTGCTGGAGGCCTGGCATAGAGCAAGCAAGCTGCAGAATCAATGTGGTCCAGAGAAGGATGTGCCCGTGCTCTGGCCATGTTTGAGCGCATCGGCTGGTGAGGTTTGGACCGGCCCAAAAGCACAGGATCTCACCAGTGTCTGGGTGAGCTCCCAGGACAGGGGAATCTCAAAGCACATCTGCCCTGCTGCCATATACACACGGGCACATCCTTCTTAGGACTCCATCAAACAACCCTTATGTCCAGCTTCCACCCTCCACCTCCAGCCAGCCTTAAAAACAGTTCCTGGGCTACAGGACATTATTGCCAGGAGCCTCAAGTCCATTCTAACAAACCCTGCAAGGATGCTGAAAGTGCTGATACTTCTTCCCAACAGCTCACATCCCTCTAGGGAAGGGTCCTCTCCTCACTGCCTTCGCCGCAGCACAGCTGACTTGCAAAGCATAAAGACAGAGCTCTCCACACAGGAGCTGCTGATGTAGGGAAAGAACTGGTGCTCATTCCCTCAAACAGGGGCGAGATGAACTGGATCCAAGTCCAGCATCTCCATGCTGATGCTGTTGAACAAGTGAGAGTGAAGAGGTGAAGGATAAGGTAGGGCAGGAACTCCACAGCCTCTCTCTTCTAATTTTCTGCAATCAGAGCTGCCCTCTGTCAGAGTCGTTATGCCTGGGGCTTTGCTCAAAGCCATGTTCCCTATGGAGATGGCCCGAGTCTGGCTCTACATCTTGTGGCACAGGAGAGAGGCCTCAGAACAGGACAGCGTTCCCAGGGGCTGACTGTGGGCTCTTGACTTTCATGGAGAAGAGCAGGATAACATCCACATGAGACATCTTGGCCACCCTCCACTTTACCCTTAGCTGATGGCAAGACCAAGCAAGATGAGGGGTGAGTTCTGCTGGCACCTACCCCGCAGCATCTCTCATGTCAGCAGGGCTCAGTTCTGCACATCAGTCCGTCTGCCTTCCCATGTGGGCTACTGCACCAGGATCCTTCTGCAGTCCTTTGGGAAAGCACCTATGGTCTCCTGTGTGTCCATGCAGAGAGATGGCAGTCCGGGGCACAGCTGAACACAGGCATGCATGCTGGATGCACAGACACAGGACTTGTGGCACGGAATGGTGAGGGTCATAAGGAAGCAAGTGAAAGCCACGATGGGGGAGGCATGCTGCTGTCTGCAGAGCTTCCAAAAGCCTGGGAGCGAGTGGTCCCAGAGCCTCACATCTGGCTAGCACAACACAGCAGCGTTCACAGGTGAACCTGCAGCCATCTGAAGCTAAAGCACAGCTGCTGTGGTAGGTACGAAGGGACCTTCCCATCAATGGGACAGGCATTGGTCACATAAACTGGCCCGCAGGTTTCACCCAGGGAGCTGGGTATGGCTGGAGCCTCCTGCTCCGTGCTCCAGATCCTGTCTGGAAGGAGGCTGCCTTGGTGATGACGATGAATTGACGACCTCCCCCCCACTGCTGCTGGAGGCTGGACCCACAGCTGCTTCCAGAGGGCGTCGGGGGGAGCTGCGGTTTGAGGGAACGATTTTCCAGCTCTGCAGCTCGGAGCCACGAAAGAGACAACAAAACAGCAGAACAAAACAAGCCTCCAGGTCGGGCCGCCCAGCGCGCTCTGCACCGTGCCATGGTGGTCTCCATAGCCTGCTCCAGCCTGGCAGCGTCCAACCACCACCCTCCTCCGTCAGCCCCCGTGATGCCAAGACCCTGGAATGAGCAGGACAATGAGGGGTCATTTGAACCCCCCCCTTCCCATGGCTGCCAGAGCAGGGGCAGGATGGGTTAGCAATGCAAAGTGGCAGGAGAGGTGGGGACCCAACTCCTGCATCTCCTGGGGACCCACAGCTGTGAGAACCTGCTGGTGGCTTCCAGGGCACCACAGCTTCTCCTCTGCCCTAGTCTTTCCCATGTCCTCAGCTCCCACCAGGGCCCAGGGAGTCCAGCAGCTACCAAGTCTTCACACAACAGTAACAGGGCCCATGGCACCCTGCCACATTCCAAGCTGGGGACCTCCATGATATTAGGTGCCTGATAACAGGCTGTGGCTGCCCCAGCTGTAGCCGTAGTGTGAGGATGCCATAACTGCTTACGGGTCTTCCACCTGAGCCGTACCAGCACCAGGAGCAGCAGGACTGCAGCCTATTCCTCCCCAGGATCTCCAGCGCTGTCTTTCACCAGCTGCTGCTGTCAGGCACCTCCTGGAGAGCAGAAGTGCTAGGGCCAGGCAGATCCAAGGTAGGTCTGAAATGAAAGAGGAATTCCCCCTGGGACAGCCAAGTAAGATCAGAGCTGAGGTTCCCTCTTTCACATCCTGCTCTTGCATGTGATGGGCTTGCCATGGCTTTGGCTCCCTGACCCGCTTGATGCTGGCAGTCCAAAAAGAAAGGTCTTCAAGCACGTAGGACACTGAACCACAGCTCTGGTTCTATCAGAGCTTCTAACTAGCTCTGCAGCTCTGCTCGGGTTGCCTCATGGCTTCTTGGAAGCGATGCCTCCAGAGCAGGGAGTCGAAGTGCCTGAGGCTCGTGCTGTTCTGTGCCCTGGGCATCAGGGAGGAACCATCCTTCACTCTGTGACACTTCATTGGCACCAGACCTTCCTGCAGCCCCCCATCCACCCCCTGCTGCAGCAGGCACCATCGGTTGCCCCATAGGAGCTTGCAGTAGCTCACATGAACTGGACTCTGCTCCCCATTTAGGCTGTACTCTGGATTTTCCCAAGGTGGGTTTTTTCCCTGCTTTTAAGCCAGCTGCAGGAAGACCTGAGAGCCATGCAGTGTGGAAGCAGCAGGAGAAATAGCACCTGGGATGTCACCTGGCACCCAGAGCTACCCCGTGCTAAGGTCCCATGCTCAGCCACAAAGCCCTGGGATGTGATCCCAAAGCCTCAGCTCCATCCTTTAAAAGCAGGTCTCTGCGGATGGGGTGCAGCAGCGCCTGTTGGGGGCCTGGCTGATGCAGCTGCAGCGCAGGGAGCGGGCGATGCTGCTCTGCTTGCTACGGAGCAGAGCTCTTCAGCTCCCCATAGCGCAGCCTGCCGCTAGAGGCCAACACACCAACGCGGGTGAGCCGGGCAGAGGAGCATCCACTCGCGTTCACAGGGATGAGCTGGACCGGGAGCTCCCGGTGCCTTCAAAAAGGGCCCCGGTGCAGCCTGCAGTACTGGCAGCAAATCACAGCTTCAGTAAGAGCTGGCTGGAACGTGCCACTTCCACCCCAGGGGGACTCTGAAATCCCAGGTTTACCATGGGAACAGCAACGCTTTCTGCTCCCAACAACTTGACTCCCAGACTCGGTTTTGCCAGGAGCCGGGCGACACGCTGGAAGAAGTGAGCACTTTAATATTACCATCTATTATCAGGTGTCAGAGAAACGAGACATGGAAATGAAACACCGCAGCCAGGCTGGAATGAAAAGCAAAACAGAAACGTTACAGCAAAGTGAGCCCCACAGAGCAGAGCCTCCAAATTCAGGCTGTGTCGCTCCAAAAACAACATGAAAAATGTCATTGCAGTCAATGCCTTCCTGAGGAAATGGCTCTGTTTCAGCAGAATGGCAGCTCTCAATAGGAATCTCTTTAGTGTGATCTTTTGAAGAGCTCTATTAATAGTGAGCTTTGCCAGAGTTCTGGATCCCCAGGGAGAACGCATTAAGTGAGAAGCTGTCAGGAGCTCCCAATGCCGTTGGTGTCTGCTCCCAATGCCGTTGGTGTCTGGCTGCTCTTAGGCTGCAGAGGGACAGGGAAGTTGTAGATAAAAGCTGCTGCTGCAGGCAGGAGCAGAGGGATGGGCCTGACACCTCCTCCAAACTGACACCAAGTTCCTGGGTGCTGTCAGAGCAAATCTGACCATTTCAGGCCATGCTAAAGGCCTGCGACAGAGCAGGGGAGGAGAAGCTTGTCAAGGAACCCGAGGAACCCTCTCTCCAAGGAGGGCTTCCCATCTCTGCACCAAGTAGTGTTTTACATTTGGAGCTGTCAAAACACACCACAAACATCTAATTAATGACACCTCCAGAAGTGCTCATGATGGAAGGGGCTTCATTCCAATTAAATCATTGCAGATCCCATGCCCTTTTCTAAGCAGCTGCTTCTGCTGCCACAGAACTTGGTAGTTCTTTGACACCCAAGCAGGAAGAAATCGTGTTCTGATGCACATCCCACATGTCTCAGGACACCCCAAACCCTCTGGGCTGCACTGGCACAGGCCTGCTCCAGTCTTAAAACCCCCATTCAATGGACTATTCCTCTACTTTGACCTCCAGCCTAGGAGCAAACCAGCTGCCTGCTTGTGGCATCAGTGCTGTGCAGCTCCTGCAAACACAGCTCACACACGCACTCGATCATGACCTGGGCAAAGCCATAGCAAGCAAGAGGACCACATCCCAGTGCCCTGGAGAGGTCCCACTGAGTTCCCACCATGCCACTGCTGCTCCATCCCCCGGCATCCCCCACCCAGCCCCTGCCCCACATGGGGACAGCAAGGAGGCTGCTCGTGGGTGAGGGTCCAAGTCCAGGACAACCCCACAGCCCTGGGCATGGTCTCTTCAGCAAGCAGCTCATTGCGAGCTCCTCACTCCCTGACTTTCGGTTGCAGCTGGGGTTAGCAGCCAGCACAGACACACAGAGTCCTTTAATTGGGGTTGAATTTCAGCGTCCCGAAGTCTGGAGCCCTTGAAGTGCCGGTTGGGTACTCCTGCCTTTGTAGTTAAAATCCTCTGCCCTGTCAGAGCCAGCTTTGCCTTCCCCTGCCCTATCCCACAGCAGCATTGGACCCAAGCAAGTGCAGGTCCCAGAGCTCTGAACAACTCTTTATTTGTTGAGGTTTTTTCTTTCCCCCTTCCTTCCCTTTGAATGAAATTCCTGCCAGCTCCGAGAGGGAGAGAGAGAGGGAAAAAGAGTAGAAAGTTTAACTCCTCCCATTGGAGCATCTCACGCCCCTGCCCAGCCCTTGAAACCCAATAACCAAGATCATTCAACAATGCCTCCCCTTCCCTGGCTGCATCCTTACCTCACTCCGACCTGCCGGCGGTACCCTGCCCGCTGCACGCGAGGCAGCAGGATCGCTGCCCTCCATCCAGCCGAGCCGCAGCACCGGGGCGAGCCGGCGGCACCGGTGCAGGCAAGGATGGACACGCTCTTCTTCTGGGGCATTCTCCTGGCCTCTTCCACCAGCGTCCAGGCGGTGCCTGCAGAGCAAGGTGCTGCACCCTCGTGCCCACCCCAGTGCCACTGCGAAGAGGATGGCATCGTGCTCTCGGTGGACTGCTCCGAGCTGGGGCTTTCGGAGGTCCCGGCCAACCTGAGCCCTCTAACAGCTTACCTGTAAGTACAGCCCTTGCTGGGTTTGGGGTTGGTTTGCAACGCTTTCCCCGGATCCCTTGCCCAGCTGCAGCGTTCCTGCAGCTTGGAAGCTTCTGCCACATTTTCCTGAAATTGAATTTCCTCTGGAAATTAGAAGCAAAACAAAACAACAGCAAAGAAGAAAAAAAAGGCAGCTATGGCTCCAGGACCTGCCAAGCTAAGCCAGCTCCCCCTCCTCCCCGCAGCCCTCTGCAAATGCTGTTTATATTGCAATGTTATGCATGCTTTGCTTCTTGATTACAGTGGATCAGAGGAGCTGATTTGCTGGGTGGATTCTGATTGTCTGGGAACATAATGGAGTATTTATACTGAGCAATTAGTGCAAACTGCTCTGGGGTCCTTCTGTCAAACATTTCAATAGCTGTGATAGCTGAGGGGGTTTGGGTTGAGCTGGCCACCAGCAGTGTCCAAGCTGCCTCTTTAAAACGAATAGTAAAATCTTAAAAGAGGTGTGGTGCTTTTGGTGGGTTATTTTTGGCTATTTGTTTACTTTTACATTCTTAATGATCTGAGTATTTCCCATCCTTTCTGGTCTTAATACCCCAATGGGTTACACTGCCACAGGGCTCTGGTGTGCTTGTTTCTAGCCCCAGAGATGGTCTCAGTGATGCCATCTGACTAGAGATGACAGAGGATGTCCTCAGGGTGAGCAGAGGACTCCATGGAAGTATCTCAGGGTTTGACCAGGAGAGGAAACACCTCTTAGGGAGACAAGCTGGACCTGGCATGCGCTGGGGAAGATGCTCACCTGTATTCACAGAGGTGCTGCAGCCAGCAACCTCATCTGTGCAGATGGGCTGCTGAGGACCTTGGCTGTCCCAGCTAGGGATGCAGCTGAGGTGCTGCCAAGGGAAGCTGTGTGCACCACAGCCATTGAGGACAACTGGTGGTCCCCAGGCAGTGCTGGGGATGTTCGGTTTGTGTTCAACCGTGCTGCGAGGGAGCTGCTGTCCCAACGTGGCACGCAACCCGTGCCGCTGGCTTTCTGGTGTTGCTGGCTTCTCCTGATGGGCAGTTACTCAGCTGTTAAAGCTGAGCACCCTAACTCATTCGGGAAGGGCTTTGCAGCTTCAGGCTGAAGCTGCCACAGATGGATAAGAGCTTCTCCACTCAACCTGCTTGCCAGAGGATCGCATTGGTTTGTCTTGTGCCAACCATTTGCTAGCCAGAGCTGTGTTAGGTCAGCTGAGAAAGAAATATGACAGGAAAGGATGATTTTCACTGGGCAGCATGAAAGATGATTGAAATGTGCAATACAAGCTATGTTTCCCTGGGACAAGGAACCACAGAGCACTTGTCACATGAGGTGTGTCCTGTATAGAGCTGTCCCCTCCGCACACATCCTGGGGCTAAGTTTGGAGCCAGCTGCCTGTGAGTGCAAAGTCACTGTGGCTCTTGACCATGCCTTGGCGCAGGGGGCTGTAAGCAGGGGGGCTGCAGAGCTTTGCAGCCCTGCTCAGCACCCGGCCCATCCTTGCGGTCATCACAAGACCAGGCCCCTGCGGCTCTGCAGCACATCACTGCCAGCTCCATTGCATGAAACAAGGGCAGCTTGGTGTTAAAGGGCTCTCACTGCCCCGTTCCCTCTGACCGTGGTGGTCGGAGCAGGGACACTGAGCCCTGGGCTGCGGCTCTCCCCGTGCACGGACCCCAGCGGGTGGGTGCTTAAAGATGCTCCCGGCCTGGTGCTGCCGGCGACTGCGGCTGCTGCTGGCAGAGCCCTGGATGTGGCTGGGAGCTGGTGCTCGGGGCAAGCCCCATCAGCGCTCCCCGTCCCTCGGGGCAACCCCGGCGGCCGCTCCGCTCACACGGGGGCGCCAACGACAGCGATTTGGGGGAGCTGCGCCCGCAGCGCCGCCCATCCCCGTGCGGGAAGAGCGGGGCTGCAGGGACCCCCCGGTGCGAAACGCCTCGGGTAGAGCCAGGGAGGTGTTGGAGGGTCCAGAGCTCCCCTCCTCCCCTTGGGGCTGGACCTGTTTGAGGGGAAACCGGCGCGTTTGCTGCCTGTTACACACTGCCGTAATGGCTGGTTAATGGCTGAGATTGGGCAGAGGTAGGAAGGCAGGATGAGCAGGGAATTGTCCCCGGCTTTCCTCCCTGCTTCTGCCACCACCTTCCTGGCCAGCCTTCGGCACGGTGAGTTTCTCAGCTACAAGGTGTGCAGTCAGGGCTGTTTTTTCAAAGCCAATCGGCATAAATGCTGCAGGAAGGATGGATATTGGAGAGGGATCTGTGTTCTTCACGTGAATTCAGCCTTGGAAATCACCTTCAGAGACGTAAAGAAATGCCGAGGATTATAGGGAGATCTGCAAGAGCTGAAAAGCAGCTGTGTGATGGCAACGGGGAGCGTGGAGCTGAAGGAAGCTGCTCCCAATATTTTCCATCTTCTTTGCTCCATACCCTGTGTTGTAAGGAAGTTACCGGTCCTCCTTTCTATAAGGAACAGGACTCCCTCAGGTGCAAAAGGATCCTCGTAATAACCTCTGATTAGACACTGCCTCACCCACTAAGGAGCTCGCATTCATGCCCCATCCTGACGATGCTGTGCCTCCCCTGTGCCTGTCTCTCTCCAAGAACCCTGTCCTTGCTCACTCTGGTACCTCCCTGAACTCGCACCTTATCCCTCCATCCAAATCCAAGCTTTACCAATGGAGGCATCCCTGGTGAGCCTGCAGCTGTGGCCAGGGGGATGGGAGAGAAGCAGTGACCTCTCCTCAGGGGCACCTCTCCGGCGGGCACTTAGACACGCTGCTGTCTCTTGGCAGCTCGGCTGGGGTTGTCCGTGTTAGGTGACAGGTCCCTGCTGGCTGCGTTGCTCCTGCCAGCATCCTTGAGCTCAATCAGGGCTCATGCTGGCTCCAACAGCCCATTCCTCTGGAGCAGCGCAGACCAACCTGCCTGCCTCATCACATGGCGACCGGCAAGGAGCTTTAGTGCATGATGTATTGGAGGGGTTGAGGGTACGAACTGTGTCTTAGCCCGGCCTTACAGTCCAGCCATGAAACACTAAAGGTCAGCACATCCACTCCATCTTCTCTACATTGTCCCAGTCAGTAGTTAGTCCCAGACAGCAATAACATTCATCCATTTCTCCTCTTGTGAAGACTGATCAAACATAGGAGCAGTGCTTGGGACAGAGGAGGAGCAGGGAATATGGCAATATGGGAGACGGGAACATGCAGGACAGTGGGGATACTGCAGTGGAAGTGATAAGGATGAAGGACACAAACCTGTAGAATACATCAATAGCACCATGGCTCAAAGCTCATCTGGAGGAGCCATCCCCCCCTTCCCCAGGGTCCCAGGTCCCCGGAGGACCAGGCTCTCCCTCTGCTGTGTGCCCATTCCTCAGAAGCATCGATGACTGCATGTCCTTGTCCCAGGCCCCATGCACCCCTTGCAGTGAAGCCAGGCAAGGCTTCACTGCACAGCTCACTGTGAGTGATGCTGTTGCTCTATCCTGGAAAGTCAGCAAACACCTGGGGCACAAGGCAGGTGATGAGGTTGTTGGGCTGTTGCTGTCACAGCAGGATTTGGAGAAAGAAAGCAGCAGAGAAAGAGCACCCAGAGCCTGGCTGCTCCCGGATAGTGCCAGGCACCTCAGGAGGCTGCCCAGACAAAATGCTTCTCATTCCCACCCTGTTTCCATTGAGGTGAATGGGATCAGGAGCCTTCAGGGCTGTTCTCGCTTTGCAGAGACATTTTGAGCCATTGCTTGGAATTTAGCATCCCACTGGGAGTCTGCAGGCCCCGCGTCATCCATGCTCTCCTCTGAGCTGAAGATCCCATGGGGAAGCATCTCCCAGCACTAATGAACCCTGTCACTTTGGGGTACCCAAGTGTGCCAAACCAAGATCTGCCCAAGCCCCAGGTGCCATGGGTCCAACAGACTCTATTGCTGCTTCCCTTATGGGGAAGGCAGATGAAAACTAACCAGAAGCCATGTAATTCCCACCCCTGTGCTCCCCAGCTTGTAACGAGGGGGAAACCAACCCAAGCAGCCTTGGAATCAGGCACAGCTTGAGAGTAAACTGTGAGAGAAACTGAAAAGCAACATGAAAAGCCACAGCCACTGAGCATGTGCTTCCAAATGGCCTTTTGTATGCCCTAGGCATCGCGGAACTCTCACCCCAGCCAACAGCTGGAATATCCCAATCCCTTGGCCCATGGCAGTGCTCAGAGCACTGCTGGTTTAGCAGTCAGAGAGCAGAGGAGCCTCATCCCTGTATGGCTGTCAGGAGCCTGATGCCACGGGTGCTGCAGGGTGGTGTCCCTGGGCTCAAGGCCCGGGGCAGAGCAGTGTGGACACACTGAACCCAACAGAGAGCAAAGGAGAGGTGAGGGAAGCAGTGTCCTGGGGGGGATCAGTGGTGCTCAGAGCAAAGCCAGCATTGCAGGACCATGAACAGGGAGGTCAGTCCTCGAGCTGCATGTGGTGGGTTGGTTTTCGAAGCAATACCTCATCTCTTTGAAAAGGAAAAGCTTGATGCAAACGGAGCAGTGTTCGTGGGACTGTGAATAGGGGGGATGTGGTGACACATTGGATAGGGGAGATGTGACACATTGAATCAAGAGAGTTGACTTCAGTGTTCTCACTTCATGGTGGCTTTTTAAAGGATTTTTTAGGACTTTTTAAAGGAAAGTTTCTGTTTCCATCTTTTCACCTGCTGGTGTTATGGTTACCTGAGGCAGTTTAATGTTCACATTGAAGGACTCCAACACTATCAAAGCACCCTAATGGTTCTAAAACACAGTATTGGTTTCTTTTGTTCTGTACTAAGTGTTGACTTGCTGGCTCTTTGTTCTGGGTTCAAGAGAAAGGAAATGTTGGCGACTCTGAATTTCTAATGAGGTGAACTTTCAGGTTTATGACAGCTCTTCCTATCTCCTCCTGCTTCATCATCTTCCAGCCACCTTCTTCTCTGTGGTGGCAGAGCCACCATAACCTCTGCTCCCTTTAA